AGAATTTATGTTTTCGAAGCTAAGCGGCTATCATTGTAAGGAATTGCCGGTTGCGAAAGCTTGAAACTCATGGTTCCAAACCTGAAAAAGCATACGTTACCAGTGGAAGTCTGTCTTTGAATTCCAAAACGTTACTCTCATTGTTCGGAATGTTTGTTTTGGTTTGTTACTAACTGAGTGGCCGGTAAGCAGAACCTTTTGTTTTGGGGGGGGGGGGGGGGGGCTTATGGAACCGGTTGCGAAAGGTTGCTTTGTGCCCCCCCCTGTGGCCGGCAATAAAAATGTTTTGCGGCAAAAAGGTCATGGCAAAGGACATGAAACAGTTTCTTTACATTTGAAATTATGTTTTGCTTAATGACCGTTCAAGAACAGCTTTGTTTTTGCTTGTCTGGACCGTATAAACCAGATGTTGCGTTTGGTTCATGGCAAGGAACTGCCGGTTTCCAAAGGTTGGAACTCACTGTTGCCAACGTGGAAACCACAGGTTACCATTGCAAGGAACTGCCGGTTCCCAGAGGTTGGAACGCATGGTTCCCAACCTGGGAACAAGAGGTTACCATTGCAAGCAACTGCCGGTTCCCACCTGGGAACCACAGGTTACCATTGCAAAGAACTTCCAGATCCTAAAGGTTGGAACTGATGGTTCCCAACGTGGGAACCAAAGGTTACCATGGCAAGGAACTGCCGGTTCCCAGACCTTGAAACTTACGGTTCCCAACCTGGGAACCAGAGGTTGCCATTGCAAGGAATTGCCGGTTCCCAGAAGTTAGAATCTATGTTTTCGAAGCTAAGCGGCTTTCATTGTAAGGAACTGCGGGTTCCCAAAGCTTGAAACTCATGGTTCCAAGCCTGAAAAAGTAACGTTACCAGTGGAAGGATCTGTTGATTGCAAAAAGTTAGAACTCATGGTTCTTAATGTTGTTTTGTTTTGTTTACTGAGCCGGTAACAGAACCTTTTGTTTTGCTTAGTGGACCGGTAGCGGAATGTTTGCGTTTGGCTGTTGGGCCGGCATAAAAATGCTTTTGGACGAAAAAGGTGCATGTCAACATGATATGAAAACAGTTTCTTTACAATTTTATGGTTTTGCTTAATGGACCGGTACAGAACGCTTTGTTTTGCTTAATGGACCGGTACCGGAATGCTTGCGTTTGGTTCATGGCAAGGAACTGCCGGTTTCCAAAGGTTGGAACTCACGGTTGCCAACGTGGGAACCACAGGTTACCATTGCAAGGAACTGCCGGTTCCCAGAGGTTGGAACTCCTGGTTCCCAACCTGGGAACCATGGGTTAACCATTGCAAGCAACTGCCGGTTCCCAGAGGTTGGAACTCATGCTTCCCAACCTGGGAACCATAGGTTACCATTGCAAAGAACTTCCGTTTCCTAAAGGTTGGAACTGATGGGTCCCAACGTGGGAACCACAGGTTACCATTGCAAGGAACTGCCGGTTCCCAGAGGTTGGAACTCCTGGTTCCCAACCTGGGAACCATGGGTTAACCATTGCAAGCAACTGCCGGTTACCAGAGGTTGGAACTCATGCTTCCCAACCTGGGAACCATAGGTTACCATTGCAAAGAACTTCCGGTTCCTAAAGGTTGGAACTGATGGGTCCCACCGTGGGAACCACAGGTTACCATGGCAAGGAACTGCCGGTTCCCAGACCTTGAAACTTACGGTTCCCAACCTGCGAACCAGAGGTTACCATTGCAAGGAGTTGCCGGGTCCCACAGGTTAGAACTTATGTTTTCGAAGCTAAGCGGCTATCATTGTAAGGAACTGCGGGTTCCCAAAGCTTGAAACTCATGGTTCCAAGCCTGAAAAAGTAACGTTACCAGTGGAAGGATCTGTTCATTGCAAAAAGTTAGAACTCATGGTTCTTAATGTTGTTTTGTTTTGTTTGCTGAGCCGGTAACAGAACCTTTTGTTTTGCTTAATGGACCGGTAGCGGAATGTTTGTGTTTGGCTGCTGGGCCGGCATAAAATGTTTTTGCACGAAAAAGGTGCATGTTAAAATGATATGAAAACAGTTTCTTTACAACTTTATGGTTTTGCTTAATGGACCGGTAAAGAACGCTTTGTTTTGCTTAATGGACCGGTACCGGAATGTTTGCGTTTGGTTCATGGCAAGGAACTGCCGGTTCCCAAAGGTTGGAACTCACGGTTGCCAACGTGGGAACCACAGGTTACCATTGCAAGGAACTGCCGGTTCCCAGAGGTTGGAACTCCTGGTTCCCAACCTGGGAACCATGGGTTACCATTGCAAGCAACTGCCGGTTACCACAGGTTGGAACTCATGCTTCCAAACCTGGGAACCATAGGTTACCATTGCAAAGAACTTCCGGTTCCTAAAGGTTGGAACTGATGGTTCCCAACGGGGGAACCACAGGTTACCATGGCAAGGAACTGCCGGTGCCCAGACCTTGAAACTTACGGCTCCCAACCTGGGAACCAGAGGTTGCCATTGCAAAGAGTTGCCGGTTCCCAGAAGTTAGAATTTATGTTTTCGAAGCTAAGCGGCTATCATTGTAAGGAATTGCCGGTTGCGAAAGCTTGAAACTCATGGTTCCAAACCTGAAAAAGCATACGTTACCAGTGGAAGGATCTGTTGATTCCAAAAAGTTAGACCTCATGGTTCTTAATTGTTGTTTTGTTTTGTTTACTGAGCCGGTAACAGAACCTTTTGTTTTGCTTAATGGACCGGTAGCGGAATGTTTGCGTTCGGCTGCTGGGCCGGCATAAAAATGTTTTTGCACGAAAAAGGTGCATGTTAAAATCTGTTAAAATGATATGAAAACATTGTCTTTACAACTTTATGGTTTTGCTTAATGGACCGGTAAAGAACGCTTTGTTTTGCTTAATGGACCGGTACCGGAATGTTTGCGTTTGGTTCATGGCAAGGAACTGCCGGTTCCAAAAGGTTGGAACTCACGGTTGCCAACGTGGGAACCACAGGTTACCATTGCAAGGCACTGCCGGTTCCCACAGGTTAGAAGTCATGGTTCCCAACCTGGGACTGCCGGTTCCCAGAGGTTGGAACTCATGCTTCCCAACCTGGGAACCATAGGTTACCACTGCAAAAGAACTTCCAGTTCCTAAAGGTTGGAACTGATGGGTCCCAACGTGGGAACCAAGGGTTACCATGGCAAGGAACTGCCGGTTCCCAGACCTTGAAACTTACGGTTCCCAACCTGGGAACCAGAGGTCACCATTGCAAGGAATTGCCGGTTCCCAGAAGTTAGAATTTATGCGTTCGAAGCTAAGCGGCTTTCATTGTAAGGAACTGCGGGTTCCCAAAGCTTGAAAGTCATGGTTCCAAGCCTGAAAAAGTAACGTTACCAGTGGAAGGATCTGTTGATTGCAAAAAGTTAGACCTCATGGTTCTTAATGTTGTTTTGTTGTGTTTACTGAACCGGTAACAGAACCTTTTGTTTTGCTTAATGGACCGGTAGCGGAATGTTTGCGTTTGGCTGTTGGGCCGGCATAAAAATGTTTTTTGCACGAAAAAGGTGCATGTCAAAATGATATGAAAACAGTTTCTTTACAACTTTATGGTTTTGCTTAATGGACCGGTAAAGAACGCTTTGTTTTGCTTAATGGACCGGTACCGGAATGTTTGCGTTTGGTTCATGGCAAGGAACTGCCGGTTCCCAAAGGTTGGAACTCACTGTTGCCAACATGGGAACCACAGGTTACCATTGCAAGGAACTGCCGGTTCCCAGAGGTTGGAACTCCTGGTTCCCAACCTGGGAACCATGGGTTACCATTGCAAGCAACTGCCGGGTACCAGAGGTTGGAACTCATGCTTCCCAACCTGGGAACCATAGGTTACCATTGCAAAGAACTTCCAGTTCCTAAAGCTTGGAACTGATGGTTCCCAACGTGGGAGCCAAAGCACAGCACGCTGCACAGCGCCCTGCACAGCACCCTGCACAGCACCTTTCACAGCACCCTTCACAGCACCCTGCACAGCACCTTTGCGAGACTTCGCCACCGCAGTCTGGATAGCAGCGTGCACAGCACCCTGCACAGCACCTTTGCCAGACTTCGCCACCGCAGTCTGGACAACACCCTGCACAGCAACCTGCACAGCACCCTCATTTGCCAGACTTCGCCACCACAGTCTGGACAGCACCCTGCACACCCTGCACCTCTTGCCAGACTTCGCCACCGCAGTCTGGACAGCACCCTGCACAGCACCCTGCACAGCACCTTTGCCAGACTTCGCCACTGCAGTCTGGACAGCACCCTGCACAGCGCCCTCACAGCACCTTTGCCAGACTTCGCCACCGCACTCTGGACACCGCACACCACCCTGCAGAGCACCCTGCACAGCACCTTTGCCAGACTTCGCCACCGCAGTCTGGACAGCACCCTGCACCACCCTGCACAGCACCCTGCACAGCACCTTTGCCAGACTTCGCCACCGCAGTCTGGACAGCACCCTGCACAGCACCCTGCACAGCACCTTTGCCAGACTTCGCCACCGCAGTCTGGACAGCACCCTGCACAGCACCCTGCTCAAAAGTTCACCACCGAAGACCCCACCTTTGAGAAGTAAGAACCCCTATAGCTTGCCAGCTATCTGGGGAACTAAAGATGTGACCAAAGCAGGCCTCTCAGAGATCAAATCAATGCTCCAACCAATGTTGGCTGCAAAGTTGTCACCAAGCTTGGGGACGGCACTTTGGTGGCTGCAGGCACGCTGTATGGCACTGACGAGTGGTGGAGGAAGATGCGCACCCTGCCGTCCGCATTCCTCTTGTAGCCGAAAGTGTACTCAACTTTGGTCTTGCTTCCATCTGCAGCGCTGGTGAAGAAGTAGTTGCCCATGGCAATGGCAACATTGCCAGTGATATCAATTTGGTGGTTGTCAAAAACCACATTTGACCATCCCTTTCCACCGTTGATGGCGAAGCCAGCATCCTCAAGATAACCCTTCTCGACTGCCTTGTGCCCAACAAAGTAGGACATGGCATCTGAGGCTGTGGGTCGAAACTGGGCCTCAGCTGCCTTGGTTGGCTTGAACAGCACATTTGTGTGTCCATAGCCATAGAGCTCACTGGCTGCTTTGGCAGCAGCTGCAACATAGTCGCCTCCCTCAAGATAAGTCTTGGAGATACTCTTGATGGCATTGGCCCATGCTGCCTGCACACTCTTCACTTCCTCTTCAGTAATCGCTCCAGATGCAGTGGCTGCAGGCACGCTGTATGGCACTGAGGAGTGGTGGAGGAAGATGCGCACCTTGCCGTCCGCATTCTTCTTGTAGCCGAAAGTGTACTCAACTTTGGTCTTGCTGCCATCTGCTGCGCTGGTGAAGAAGTAGTTGCCCATGGCAATGGCAACATTGCCAGTGACATCAATTTGGTGGTTGTCAAAAACCACGTTCGACCATCCCTTCCCACCGTTGATGGCGAAGCCAGCATCCTCAAGATAACCCTTCTCGACCGCTCTGTGCCCAACAAAGTAGGACATGGCATCTGAGGCTGTGGGTCGAAATTGTGCTTCAGCTGCCTTGGTTGGCTTGAACAGCACATTTGTGTGTCCATAGCCATAGAGCTCACCGGCTGCTTTGGCAGCAGCTGCAACGTAGTCGCCTCCGTCAAGATAAGTCTTGGAGATACTCCTGATGGCATTGGCCCATGCTGCCTGCACACTCTTTACTTCCTCCTCAGTAATCCCAGATGCAGTGGCTGCAGGCACGCTGTATGGCACTGAGGAGTGGTGGAGGAAGATGCGCACCTTGCCGTCCGCATTCTTCTTGTAGCCGAAAGTGTACTCAACTTTGGTCTTGCTTCCATCTGCTGCGCTTGTGAAGAAGTAGTTGCCCATGGCAATGGCAACATTGCCAGTGACATCAATTTGGTGGTTGTCAAAAACCACATTTGACCATCCCTTTCCACCGTTGATGGCGAAGCCAGCATCCTCCAGATAACCCTTCTCGACTGCCTTGTGCCCAACAAAGTAGGACATGGCATCTGAGGCTGTGGGTCGAAACTGTGCTTCAGCTGCCTTGGTTGGCTTGAACAGCACATTTGTGTGTCCATAGCCATAGAGCTCACCGGCTGCTTTGGCAGCAGCTGCAACGTAGTCGCCTCCGTCAAGATAAGTCTTGGAGATACTCCTGATGGCATTGGCCCATGCTGCCTGCACACTCTTTACTTCCTCTTCAGTAATCGCTCCAGATGCAGTGGCTGCAGGCACGCTGTATGGCACTGAGGAGTGGTGGAGGAAGATGCGCACCTTGCCGTCCGCATTCTTCTTGTAGCCAAAAGTGTACTCAACTTTGGTCTTGCTTCCATCTGCAGCGCTGGTGAAGAAGTAGTTGCCCATGGCAATGGCAACATTGCCGCTGACATGAATTTTGTGGTTGTCAAAAACCACATTTGACCATCCCTTTCCACCGTTGATGGCGAAGCCAGCATCCTCAAGATACCCATTCTCGACCGCCTTGTGCCCAACAAAGTAGGACATGGCATCTGAGGCTGTGGGTCGAAACTGGGCCTCAGCTGCCTTGGTTGGCTTGAACAGCACATCAGAGTGGCCATAGCCATAGAGCTCACCGGCTGCTTTGGCAGCAGCTGCAACGTAGTCGCCTCCCTCAAGATAGGTCTTGGAAATGTGTTTGATTGCATCTGACCAAGCCTTTTGTGCCAGAAGAACCTCAGCCTCCGATACACTCAGGGTCACAACCCTTGCCTGAGTCTGCATTCCAGGGGAGACCATTGCTGACGGAGCATAGATCTGTGGTGCCATCTGTGGATAAGCCACACCAGCTGGGGCAGCCATGCCGCCAGGGATCTCAGCACCACTCGTCACGTAAGAGACACGAGATGGGAACGTAGTCACGGCACCTGGAACTGCATACATCTGTTGTCCAGGGTACACTGGCTGTCCAGTGAACATTGCTAGATGCTAACACGATGGAAGCAGAAAACACCTTCAGTATCCTTGAATGGCTTCGGATGCGCCATCTACTCAACTCAATCTGAATCCATTCACTGCATGCCTGGACAATGAATTCAGATTCCTCAAGATTGTTGATCTCCAAAGTGCATGTTTTGCATGTTTCGACGCAGAAACCTTGCAAGGGCCTATGCTTCCGTTCTTGACTCGCATTCATCCTGATCCCAAACAGCCTTGCTTTACATCTTGCAGCATAGCTGGCGTGCGCAGCTTAAATGCTGGAACCGAGAATGAAACAACTCAAGCAGAACAGCTAGATAAAATGTTGGGTGTCTTTAGGCTCTCTTGAGCAACGATCTTTCATACTCATCCATATTCCGAATATTCTACTATTTTCCCACCCGCTGCAAGAAACGCTTGTGGGCAGCGTCAGCCCATCCTGCCCACGTCCAAGCCTTTGAAAAGCTCCTTCGCACAATCCGTCCACCATCCACTGGAAAGCACAGGGCCATCACCAGATCCTGGCAGACACCAAGTCTTACAGTCTTAGCTCTCAGATGTTGCAGTGACAATCTCATTCAAAACCTTCAGAAACGCACTCCACCCAAGAAACAAAGAGACTCCAAATTGGACTCCAAATGCAACTTTTGAGGCGGGCGATTGCGAAAAGCTGCAAGGGTCTCCAAGCAAAGCACAGGTATGTACTGGCTGCTTGGTTGAAGAGCTTAGGACTTCGGCAGCCCATTGGCCCTTCCCAAAACTTCGAAAGATACCTCCTCTGGTGGGAATGTTTCATCCCCGCAGCCGGCTCCTAGGTCCGGCTAAAAAATTCAATCATTAAATCTAAATAATGTGTACAAATCAATTTGATACTGCACAAAAATGCTTGAGGCAAAAGCTGGACAAAGGACAAACCTAAAAAGCCTCAAACGTGCAGAAAAGTGCAATAAAGCTGCTTCAAATTGTTTCAAAGCACCAGACCAGGCAACTGTTTCAAGTCACCGTCAGCATGGAAAAAAACTAAAGATGTGACCAAAGCAGGCCTCTCAGAGCTCCAATCTATGCTCCAACCAATGTTGGCTGCAAAGTTGTCACCAAGCTTGGGGACTGCACTTTGGTGGCTGCAGGCACGCTGTATGGCACTGAGGAGTGGTGGAGGAAGATGCGCACCTTGCCGTCCGCATTCTTCTTGTAGCCGAAAGTGTACTCAACTTTGGTCTTGCTTCCATCTGCAGCGCTGGTGAAGAAGTAGTTGCCCATGGCAATGGCAACATTGCAAGTGACATCAATTTGGTGGTTGTCAAAAACCACATTTGACCATCCCTTTCCACCGTTGATGGCGAAGCCAGCATCCTCAAGATAACCCTTCTCGACCGCCTGTGCCCAACAAAGTAGGACATGGCATCTGAGGCTGTGGGTCGAAACTGTGCTTCAGCTGCCTTGGTTGGCTTGAACAGCACATTTGTGTGTCCATAGCCATAGAGCTCACCGGCTGCTTTGGCAGCAGCTGCAACGTAGTCGCCTCCTCAAGATAAGTCTTGGAGATACTCCTGATGGCATTGGCCCATGCTGCCTGCACACTCTTTACTTCCTCTTCAGTAATCGCTCCAGATGCAGTGCTGCAGGCACGCTGTATGGCACTGAGGAGTGGTGGAGGAAGATGCGCACCTTGCCATCCGCATTCTTCTTGTAGCCGAAAGTGTACTCAACTTTGGTCTTGCTTCCATCTGCAGCGCTGGTGAAGAAGTAGTTGCCCATGGCAATGGCAACATTGCCAGTGACATCAATTTGGTGGTTGTCAAAAACCACATTTGACCATCCCTTCCCACCGTTGATGGCGAAGCCAGCATCCTCAAGATAACCCTTCTCGACTGCCTTGTGTCCAACAAAGTAGGACATGGCATCTGAGGCTGTGGGTCGAAATTGTGCTTCAGCTGCCTTGGTTGGCTTGAACAGCACATTTGTGTGTCCATAGCCATAGAGCTCACCGGCTGCTTTGGCAGCAGCTGCAACGTAGTCGCCTCCGTCAAGATAAGTCTTGGAGATACTCCTGATGGCATTGGCCCATGCTGCCTGCACACTCTTTACTTCCTCTTCAGTAATCGCTCCAGATGCAGTGGCTGCAGGCACGCTGTATGGCACTGAGGAGTGGTGGAGGAAGATGCGCACCTTGCCATCCGCATTCTTCTTGTAGCCGAAAGTGTACTCAACTTTGGTCTTGCTTCCATCTGCAGCGCTGGTGAAGAAGTAGTTGCCCATGGCAATGGCAACATTGCCAGTGACATCAATTTGGTGGTTGTCAAAAACCACATTTGACCATCCCTTTCCACCGTTGATGGCGAAGCCAGCATCCTCAAGATAACCCTTCTCGACTGCCTTGTGTCCAACAAAGTAGGACATGGCATCTGAGGCTGTGGGTCGAAACTGTGCTTCAGCTGCCTTGGTTGGCTTGAACAGCACATTTGTGTGTCCATAGCCATAGAGCTCACCGGCTGCTTTGGCAGCAGCTGCAACGTAGTCGCCTCCGTCAAGATAAGTCTTGGAGATACTCCTGATGGCATTGGCCCATGCTGCCTGCACACTCTTTACTTCCTCTTCAGTAATCGCTCCAGATGCAGTGGCTGCAGGCACGCTGTATGGCACTGAGGAGTGGTGGAGGAAGATGCGCACCTTGCCGTCCGCATTCTTCTTGTAGCCAAAAGTGTACTCAACTTTGGTCTTGCTTCCATCTGCAGCGCTGGTGAAGAAGTAGTTGCCCATGGCGATGGCAACATTGCCGCTGACATTAATTTTGTGGTTGTCAAAAACCACATTTGACCATCCCTTTCCACCGTTGATGGCGAAGCCAGCATCCTCAAGATAACCGTTCTCGACTGCCTTGTGCCCAACAAAGTAGGACATGGCATCTGAGGCTGTGGGTCGAAACTGTGCTTCAGCTGCCTTGGTTGGCTTGAACAGCACATCAGAGTGGCCATAGCCATAGAGCTCACCGGCTGCTTTGGCAGCAGCTGCAACGTAGTCACCTCCCTCAAGATAGGTCTTGGAAATGTGTTTGATTGCATCTGACCAAGCCTTTTGTGCCAGAAGAACCTCAGCCTCCGATACACTCAGGGTCACAACCCTTGTCTGAGTCTGCATTCCAGGGGAGACCATTGCTGACGGAGCATAGATCTGTGGTGCCATCTGTGGATAAGCCACAGCTGGGGCAGCCATGCCGCCAGGGATCTCAGCACCACTCGTCACGTAAGAGACACGAGATGGGAGCGTAGTCACGGCACCTGGAACTGCATACATCTGTTGTCCAGGGTACACGGGCTGACCAGTGAACATTGCTGGATGCTAACACGATGGAAGCAGAAAACACCTTCAGTATCCTTGAATGGCTTCGGATGCGCCATCTACTCAACTCAATCTGAATCCATTCACTGCATGCCTGAACAATGAATTCAGATTCCTCAAGATTGTTGATCTCCAAAGTGCATGTTTTGCATGTTTCGGCGCAGAAACCTTGCAAGGACCTATAAGGCCTCTAGCCTATGCTTCCGTTCTTGACTCGTATTCATCCTGATCCCAAACAGCCTTGCTTTACATCTTGCAGCATAGCTGGCCTGCGCAGCTTAAATGCTGGAACCGAGAATGAAGCAATTGCAGAACAGCTAGATAAAAATGTTGGGTGTCTTTAGGCTCTCTTGAGCAACGATCTTTCATACTCATCCATATTCCGAATATTCTACTATTTTCCCACCCACTGCAAGCAGCCCATCCTGCCCACGTCCAAGCCTTTGAAAAGTTCCTTCGCACAATCCGTCCACCATCCACTGGAAAGCACATGACCTTCACCAGATCCTGGCAGACACCAGGGTCTTACAGTCTTAGCTCTCAGATGTTGCAGTGACAATCTCATTCAAAACCTTCAGAAACGCACTCCAGACAAAGAGACTCCAAATTGGACTCCAAATGCAACTTTTGAGGCGGGCGATTGCGAAAAGCTGCAAGGGTCTCCAAGCAAAGCACAGCTATGTACTGGCTGCTTGGCTGAAGAGCGCGGGCCTTTGACAGCCCATTGGCCCTTCCCAAAACTTCGAAAGATACCTCCTCTGGTGGGAATGGTTCATCCCCGCGGCGCCGGCTCCTAGGTCCGGCTAAAAAAATCTATCATTAAAATTTAAATCTATATCCGCCGACCCCTGCTGTAGCGGGGGAGCGCGTGAGAGAAGCAACTTTTGTCAAGCAAAGGCAAGGTTTGCAACTAGTTTCTGACGTTCAGGAAGCAACGTTTGGAGTCTGGGCTGCCGGCCGCGGGCCCGATCCGTCCTTCACTGCCATGGTGTTTTGGTAATGCGGCAGTCCTTGGACCTGAGGTGTGCCAGACAAACGCCACCTGCGAGACGCTGCACAAGCAATTTGGAAGCTGGCAGCGCCGAACGGCAGGTAAAGGCAAGGTTTGCAACTAGTTTCTATAGGCGTTCAGAAAGCGACGCTTGGCACTCTGGGCTGCTGGTCGCGGGCCCGATCCGTCCTTCACTGCCATGGTGTTTCGGTGCTGCCGCAGCGTCCTTGAACCTGAGGTGTGCCAGACGAACACCACCTGCAAGACGCAGCAAGCAATTTGGAAGCTGGCAGTGCCGAACGGCAGGTAAAGGCAAGGTTTGCAGCTAGTTTCTAGGCGTTCAGAATGCGACGTTTGGCACTCCGGGCTGCCGGCCGCAGGCCCGATCCGTCCTTCACTGCCATGGTGTTGTGGTGCTGCCAGACGAACGCCACCTGCAAGACGCAGCAAGCCATTAGGAAGCTGGCAGTGCAGAACGGCAGGTAAAGGCAAGGTTTGCAGCTAGTTTCTAGGCGTTCAGAAAGCAACGTTTGGCACTCTGGGCTGCCGGCCGCGGGCCCGATCCGCCCTTCACTGCCATGGTGCTTTGGTGCTGCGGCAGCATCCTTGGACCCGAGGTGCGCCAGACGAACGCCACCAGCACGACGCAGCAAGCACTTTGGAAGCTGGCAGTGCAGAACGGCACGCAGCAAGCAATTTGGAAGCTGGCAGTGCCGAACGGCAGGTAAAGGCAAGGTTTGCAGCTAGTTTCTATAGGCGTTCAGAAAGCGACGTTTGGCACTCTGGGCTGCCGGCCGCGGGCCCGATCCGTCCTTCAGTGCCATCGTGTTTTGGTGCTGCGGCAGCGTCCTTGGACCTGCGGTATGCCAGACGAATGCCACCTGCGAGACGCAGCAAGCAATTTGGAAGCTGGCAGTGCAGAACGGCAGGTAAAGGCAACGTTTGCAACTAGTTTCTCGGCGTTCAGAAAGCAGACGCAGCAAGCAATTTGGAAGCTGGCAGTGCCGAACGGCAGGTAAAGGCAAGGTTTGCAACTAGGTTCTGCGCGTTCAGAAAGCAGACGCAGCACGCACTTTGGAAGCTGGCAGTGCCGAACGGCAGGTAAAGGCAACGTTTGCAACTAGTTTCTAGGCGTTCAGAAAGCAGACGCAGCAAGCAATTTGGAAGCTGGCAGTGCCGAACGGCAGGTAAAGACAAGGTTTGCAACTAGTTTCTAGGCGTTCAGAAAGCAGACGCAGCAAGCAATTTGGAAGCTGGCAGTGCCGAACGGCAGGTAAAGACAAGGTTTGCAACTAGGTTCTACGCGTTCAGAAGCAGACGCAGCACGCACTTCGGAAGCTGGCAGTGCCGAACGGCAGGTAAAGGCAGACTTCAATTCAGCTCACCACTCAGCGGTCATATCTTTTTCTCATGTTCAGCTGGCTCGGTATGCTTGGTCAAGCATGCATGACACAACATTCGAAAAAAGGCAGCACTTCAACTCCTCCTTCTAAACTCCTTCTCAACTCTTCAAATAAGTGCTGCCCTTCAAATCTCCTCATCAAATAGACACCCCCCAAGGGATGGGCGGGTTTTGGGTCACTTGAGCACCACACGGCGTCAAGGCGTGGTTTGCTTACTCAGTCTTCCAGAAACTAAAACATCCAGACTTCAATTCAGCTCACCACTCAGCGGTCATATCTTTTTCTCATGTTCAGCTGGCTCGGTATGCTTGGTCAAGCATGCATGACACAACATTCGAAAAAAGGCAGCACTTCAACTCCTCCTTCTAAACTCCTTCTCAACTCTTCAAATAAGTGCTGCCCTTCAAATCTCCTCATCAAATAGACACCCCCAAGTCATCCACCCAAATCATAGATGGGATGTTAACCAGAATTGTTAGGGTAGGTTAGTCATGGTGTGATATCGGCAGGTGAGGACGTGTGCCAATGCTCTGCAAAGTTTAGTGGGATACGGCTCAGCAATCTTGGTCCATGGGCGACCACCAGGCCCTGACCCGGTCAACAGGAAGTGCCTCTCTGAAGTGCGACTGCACCACCCATGTTGACCTTGGCAAGTGCGGTGCAGTTTGTGGACATCATCAATGCGGCTTGAAAGGAAAAGAGTTGGTTTCTTCCATGTGGTTCCAAATTGACAGAAATCTGCTTGAACTGGCAAGAAAGCAGGGTCGTTAAGAAGCCTTCTCAAATATGGTAGATTCCAACACCGACTATGAAGCGGGTTCTCTAAGATCCAAGGAATACCTGATGCCTCGCACTCGTCAATGATCTTGAAGCATGCTCGAAACACGGCATTGCCAGTAATGATACTGC